ACAGTTTAGGGTTTAGGGGTTTAGGCCCTAAGCCCTAAACCCTCAACCCTAAACCCTCAACCCTAAACCCTAAACCCTAAACCCTAAACCCTAAACCCTCAACCTAGGGTTTAGGGGTTTTTGACTGCGGAGCTTTCGGATTCAAGGCCCTGGAGGTTCGACGCTGCGAGGCCGCTATCAGGCGCAGACAGCATTTTGCTTCCAGTCTCTGGGGTAGTTCCTATGAAATTTGGGTCCCTGTTCGAATTCCTTAAACCCTAAACCCTCTCGAAATTAGGATCCTTTTTTGGATTCCTTAAACCCTACCTCTCGAAATTAGGGTCGCTGTTAGGATCTCTTAAAAGGGTTTCTATACGGGTACTAGAAGGGCTTTTGTATGGGTAGTTCTCGAACGTAGGGTCCCTTTTAAGGTCCCCAATGTAGTACAGCACCGGTATAACAAGGACCCTACTTGGAGGATCAGGGGACTTAGTAACTAGGATTATCTAGACTTATAGTTACTTAGAACCCCAATTAGGGTACTTAGAACCTCACTTACTAAGTCCCATGATCCTCCAAGGAACAGAGACCCTAGTTTAGAGAACTACCCTGTTCCGGGAAGATGCCACTTCAAGGCTTCCCGCCATGTCCCATGTGAGAAGCTGATGGCTCAACGATGCTGGTGAATTCTGACGATTGTGCGTTCCCGGTATAACCACTTCTCCAGCTTCCTCAAGGAGGTTTTGGGGTCAGATCACAGTATATCAGGAGTGTATTTTCGCCAAGATGAGAGAAACAGGATGACACGCTATCGTGCTAATTTCCAATCTAAGACAGAACCGTAAAACCCTAAACCCTAAAGGCTACTCTAATCTTCATGAAAAGACGGAACGCACTGCAACTATTGCAACCCCGTACCTGCTTAGAGAAGCAGGGGACTTGCTGAGCAGGTTGTTGGTAGGGTTTAGGGTTTAGGGTTGAGACAACATGATAACACCATTGAGGACACTTGGGTAGTTGTCAAAATTATGGTCCCGTTTGGGGTACCCTAAATAATAGGTGCCGTATTATGATAAGGACCCAAAAGGGTACCATAATTTTGACAACCACCCACTTATAGTTATACTTGCAAGCTGCGTACTCGGTCGCCGGAATCCAACACGCTTGTACACCCTGATGAAGACCCGCAAAGCAAATCCCGGACCCCAAACCCTAAACCCACAACACCCTGAACCCCTCAAACTGGTTCCCTGTTGGGACTATATTAAAAATGGTCAGTTTTCAATCCTTATTGGGTTTCATTATAACAAAAATGTAAAGTTGTAGCTAACAAGGACCCAGCTAAACCCTAAACCGACCCACTCCCACCTACCTATACCCCCAACAGGACCTGAACGGT